ATCTTGTGATTTTACAGGCATAGTTTACCATTGTCATCAGTTCAATCTCGATACAGAAGGGAAGGGAACAGGCAGTAACCCTTGATGAGAAAGGTGGAACCGGTACTACCCCTGTACAAAACTTGAAAGCTATTAGTCGAAGTTTCAGTACCTTTCAATGTACAAAAAGGAAAAGGCATGGCAGTCAGCAATACACCTCACAGAAGATGTGAGATGACTCCTTTATACCATGAACATCATTTAGATGTGGAATCAAAGGGTTAAGGTTATGAACTCTAAAACCATTCCTCATCTACCACATTAACTTTTCAGAAATGAGTCAGAAACTACATAAGTTAACACTAAAACAGCCACTTAGGTTCAAAATGTTGAGCTAATACATGGAGATGATGATGCCTTTAATCTTGTGGACTGTTTAATCAAAGCTTTCACCTCTGATGGTGACAAATCAAGGCAACTGTGCGTGCAGGTCAAATCTAGATGGTGGACTTGCATGCATTATCTTGCTTGCCTCACCTTATATGAGCTTGCATCCAATCTGCACTATTGTCTACCGAAACCCAAAGTCTAGTGGAATGGAATTATTACTGATGGTAAGAAGAGTGAACGCCCATTACTTGCTGCAGTTTCATCAGTACTCTGCTTGTTTATTGCATGCATGACTCAGCTTCATGGACCCCACTGTTAGGGAAGATCCCAAGTAGAAGTAGAGTTACACGATGGTATCTGTTGTGCATCTCTTTGTTATCAGGGAAGCCGCCCTTGGAGTGTGTGGAAGACAAAAGAAGCTTAAGGAAGTCCAGCCCTTTTTCTTTGCTGTTTCTTCTGATTGCTACATGCATGGTGTTTGGTACAAGGAATTGGAACTTGCAGTTACAAAAGAAATCAAATTCTCTGATTCAAGTTACTCCAAATATGTAAACAACACATTAATTCCACAATCTCAGGTAACTCACACAAAGAGATTCGTTCCAATAGAGTACAATCATTCTTTCTTTTATCAGAATATGGTATTTGAAACCTTTGTGTTTTCTGTTCTATCCCATTATAATTTTGTTCATGTATCTATCTCACTGTATGCCCAATGTTTATCTACTACCTGTTCAAGTGTGAGGAAGCTAGTCTTTGTTGAGGTTTTATTTTGATAAGCAATCAACAATTTACTTACCAAAATAAAATTATTGTTATTAAGCAAATGATTGTCTTCCAATTCTAATACATTAAGCAAATTTTTGACTATGCCATTGAGTTTCTTAAAATGAACCAGTCACTTTCTTTTTTCCATATTATCTTACATATATTTATAAAGATAAATATATTTACAAAATAAGATTGTCATGTGGAATATATGCAAGTTATCATTTGTGAAATATATATATATATATATATATATATATATATATAATAATATATATTGCTACATAACTCTCACTAATAATAAAAGATAGATAGATTTTACTAAATTAAATTAAGATATAAGTGGAACTCAGTCCTCATACCAAAGAAGCCATCAATACCCAATAAGTAAACCATGCTCATTCCAACAATGAAGAAGAAGATTATAGTCCATATAGCTCAAGACTCTTTTAACTTTGGTCGTGGCTTCAAGCCCCACCATGGCATCGTACTCTTGTCGACATTACCCATATCGATGTGATTGGCTTAAATATGTGTGATGTATCAGAGGAATTACCATTCAGATGCAATCATTAGTCATGCTATGCTATTATTTTTATTAAGAATTATTTCATCTATTAGCAATTAGTTCATCTCTTAAGAATGTATAGAGCTATGCATATATGCATGCACATATAAATATAACATGCCACGACTTAGAAAAGAAAAAGATAAATAAAAATAAAGCGACACTATAGTATTAAATATATAAAAAAATTAAAGATATTATATCAACAATTTAATGTATTCTTAGTTTTAATTGTAAGATCAAACAACCATATATAGGAGCTTGTTTCTCTTCTATGTTAGTTTATAAAGTCTAATTAAATATATCGTACCAGCATATAAAAAAAATAAGAAATATAAGAAAACTTAAGACCTCCGTGCATTGTGAATGACCACAATTGTGCTTGCGATTTGGGCACTCTCACTTCACACACATATCCTGTGTTCCCATGAATCATTGAACTAAATCAAAGTTAATTTCAAGTAAAGTTCATATCATCGAACTGAATCGAAGTGTACAACTCTGGAGGAGTACGATGAAAGCCATGAATGGGCACCTATGGTGTTTCTTTCTTGCTTAAATCGAAGGCCTGCTCTGCTCTTGGGCAAAGATTGAAGAGATGCAGCAGGGTAGCAAAACAGACAACAAACAGGCACACTACATAATTCAATCATCGAAGAATCCTAAATCCAAATATTAAAGGCGACAAAGTCTGTGAAGAGTATAGAGTTTGAGCGAGCTCTCAAATAGAGAGGAAAGGAAAAGGAAGAACTAACAAGTTAGTGATACCAACGGGCGTGCCTTGGCCTCTTGCTGAGAGTCGAAGCAGGGGAAACCTGCGGCACCGTGAATGCGTCTTCGCTCCACAGCTCTCGCCCTGCTTACACCCCTTCATGGGCGATAAGAGACACCTCCTTGCCAGCGTTCGATGCACGGTAGCCGGCGCCGCCGGGAGTGAACTACGGCGCGTGGCGCGCCCAGATAGGATACTTCTCCGACACTGTTCCCGGGCGGCCGCTGTCCAGATCCGTCTCTACGAATCGCAGCAGCTCGTCCGCCTGCGCCATAAAAATCCGATTTTTTATCTTCTTCGAGCGAAAAAGATGCAATTTTTGTGGTGGATTGACGCGGAACTGCTTGGAGACCAGGTGGCAAAAGGCAGTTGCATGGCGACAGAGCTAGGAGAAACCTTCGTCGTCGACCAGCAGGTCGTCGACGCGCCAGCCCGGGCACATCTTGATGAGGTACTCCGAGATGTTGCTGGTGACCGTCGTCGTGCTGCTGCTGGTGAAAGTCATGGGGGAGGAAACATCTGCAACCAATGCCGTTGTTTGATTGTTCATGGTCATGATGGTTTTGGTCGCAGCTTTAGCCGCCGTAGCCTCCGGAACAGGGGAGGGAGAGGAGGAGACGGGAGCGGCGGAGAGCCGGACGCCGGTGAGGATGAACCTGTTGTGCTTCATGGTGAGATGATTAGCGCTGTGAACAGAAACATCGCAATCCCTGCAAAGAATCGCCCGGTCCTCTTGACAGAACAAGAACCCTCGATTCTCCTATGATGCCCATAAACCAAAAAAAAAAAAAAATCAAAAGATTTCCTCTGCCAATCGCAACACCGGTCGGTAGGGAAGGGATCAAAATCGCGTCTTGGAATCAGGGCAAACCTGGCAGATATCGCAGACCGGGTGGGACTCGGCGGAGGGGGCGGAGAGCGAGAGGCGGCGGTGCTCACCGGCCAGCTTGTTCGCCGGGTGCACACGCAGGTCGCAGGCTTCGCAGAGGGCGGTCTCGTCGGCGCAGCAGAAGGCCGAGGCCTCCTCCTTGCAGCACACGTCGCACAGTATCTTCATCGCGCTCCTCTCTTCTACGGTGGTCGAGGAGGAAATGGAAGGCCTCGTGAGAGAAGCTGACGGCGAAATAGTTGAAATCAGTGCGTGTCGCAGCGAGGAGGAGAATGGAGCTACAAATTAGAGTGGCAGGAGAAGAGGGAAGCAATGGGATGGCGTTGGAATTGATGCTCTTGAGAGATCCTCCAGCTTCAATATTTTCTTTTGGTCTCCAAGTTTGCAGAGGCTGATGTTTCACAATCAAAAGTTTTGGCCATATCTTATTCTAAATTTGCATTGATATTGTTGAATTTGGTTGTTCTTTTAAAATCTCATAAATTAAAAGATAACCTTTTTCAATCTTTTTGTGCTCCACTCTTCCACCTTTACAAGCAGGTCTGACAAAAATGTTGATCCATTCTTGCAAAGAATATACAAATCTCCCAAGAATTATAATATAATCTATCTGCCAACAAGTTTTGTACTCAATTCAGTAATAATTTCAAACTGATAAATACATTTTTTTCTGGTGAATTGGAGCCTTCAGTTGATGAAACAAAGAGAAAAGTCTTGACAGTGACATACTTCCATGCTGCATGTTCTGCATGTCTCCTTATTCAGAAGCTGATATGGATGCAACAGTAAAGCTGGGGACTGTATCAGCACAGAGCAGATAGATATCCATCATCATTGTTATGACAACATCTTGGGCTTTAAAAGAGGCATCTTGTGCTATAACTTCAGCAGTGATGCATCCAAAATATATCATCTAAACACCATACATTTCATCATATGATTCCCTATAGTACTATGCATCAACAAAATTCCAAAGCCAGCCTATGCCTTATCACTTGCATAATATTCTGCATGTTCTTCAGCTACATCAGAGTAAAGACAAAGCTAGAATACTTCCTGAGATTGGTTTTCCACACTCATCCTTCTTTTCAGAAACTAGACAGACTGAGTTATTTAATGAGCTGGTGATGGTTTCAGAGAAGAAGCAGCAGCATGGGAGTAGCATCAGGCTGAGTCCCACAGAATGGTGGAAAACCACCTTATCTTCTTCCACTCTGCTCTCTTCAATTATGGATTAGTTTATTAAAATATCTGAGAGTGGGCAGCTCTTTCCCACCACCAGCCACCTTTCAGCTTCATTTGATCTGCCATCTCCTTCATGTCTGTGAAAATGAACAAGAATTCTCCATTAACCTACACTCCATAGGCTGGGAAATTTCCTTCATCAGTTCACATAAAGCTTTCCCTCATGTCAATGGTTCATTCAACCACTTAATACAGGAAAAACAAAAAAATCAGCTTTCCCATGTTTCTTCTGTTTTCTAACATAACTAGTCTAACAAAACAAAAGATACCACCATCATGTATATTTTGCCAGTGATCATTAGTGCAAGTGGAACAGCGCAGATTTCAAGAAATGTACAGTTCTAAGACCAAATTGCTTAGGATTGTTTAGAAAAGAATATAAGAGAGCTTAGCTTGACAAAGTATGATAAGCCAGTTTTGTACATAAAGGTACAATAATATAGACATGATCCAAAACTAGATCCATCTTCTTTATATTGGTCTTCATGGATGTCTTATGTGAAAGGGGAATTGAATCTTTAGTTTTTAGGAGATAATTTAGTAGTATATTTAGAACAATCATCTTCTTTTTTTCCATGACAAAATAAAAAAAGAAAAAAATCAAACAGTTAAGACTAAGTCTCTGCTTCAAACTTTTCATCATCAAAATGATTTGCCACTGAGTTTTAGACATTTATCAAGGTTTTTCATCATGATCTTGAATCAAAAGGAATCATAGCAATATAAAATGTGTGAGCTGAATTCAGCTCTTAAAAGGTGATGAGGAGAAATTTAATGATGTAAGTTCTTCTCCAAGACACAAAATATGGTTATTGGTAGCCTCAACCCATTATTTATGTTCTTGCTAACACATCATTTGTACATCAAACTGGATGGACAAATTCATTACATGACTTGGTATCGAAAGTGTGAAGCATATGTTGGTGGTCAGTCGCATGTACTTTTAGGCATCTCAAGAGCCAAAGAGGAAACAAACTTGCAGCCAAAAGACTGTTCTATCATGGACACCCTGTTCTTATTATTTCTTGCTTAATATGTGATTTGACTTCCGATATCAAGCTTAGTAAGTCAATAGGATATTTTCCTGACCAAGAGTTTGTCTGATGATGATTGTTTATGCCCTTAATTTTCATTAAAATTAATTATGATGATCATCATAGTTTTTTTCCTTGATTTCAATGATGCCTTGTGCTACTTTATTTTATGCACAAGAGAAGCAACATCATAGAAGAGAAGGAATGTTCATTCTACTCTCTTCTTACAAACTTGTGAAAGAAATGTTCTCATGCTTCATCATTTGCCCAATCCAAACTCTTGTTTCTCATGCTTGTATGGTGGATCTCATCATCCACCCAATCTGGCCAACAATTTTTGTATCTTGCAGCTCACCTAAACCGAGTTGACATCTGCTCTGAAGCAAATGGGCGAACTGGAAGTTGTTGTGGTGTCATTCACAACCAGAACTCCTTTTTTAAGATAGATGGACTTGAATCTATTTCAGTGATTACTTCAAGTTGGAGTGTTTGCTTGTTTCAGTGATTATTAGATATAGCTATAGTATTGTATCTGTTACAACACTTGTACTCTATGATGCAAAAAAATCTCATGGAGAAAGAATTATATTATCTACCATTCTTCAAATGGATTGCCAAATTGGCATATAATGACAGAGAAGACTTCAGCAATTCATGGTTTTAAGAGACACTTGACATTACTTGGAGTCATTTTGATGGTGAAAGAAATAAACTCAAACAGGACAACAGCATGATTAATATAACTATGAATTGTAATACACTCACTCCATGTATAGAAAAATAAGAAATGAAAATATTTCCCTCAAGAAAACTTCTGATTGGTATGTATGTAATGTAAACTATCCTCACTGTTTAATTAGGAACACAAACATGATCCTGTGCTATGGGTGTCACATCAGATCTCAGTAACACCGTCCTCTTCTTCTTTTCTTTTATGTACATTTGAGTTCTTCATGCATGCCTACGTGAGAACAAGGCCAGCATCAGGGTTTGCCACAAAATAGGCCAAGGCTCCAACTAATGGAGCATTGATGTAGGTGGTCGGCTCGGATTTGCGGAAATCAGCACGATCATCCTCGTAAATGTCGTCGTCGCCGGGGCCACCGACCACTGCTCCGATTTGAGGATTAGGGTTAGGGTCGGGGGACTTGTAGTAATCTGATCCATCCTTGCATGCGATGAACTGAGGGTGGCTTGAGACTGATGGCAGCGAAGAAGCCCTGTGGTGAATCCTTTCCGGATATCGATCCCCATATCCAACCATGTGCGACATCTTCATAGGATTATCCCCTAAAATGTAGTCGATCTGACAACAATAATATTCATCTTAATGTCTAAAAATGATTTGGTTATCGATCGATATCGACCATTAGATCAGCCACTGTACCTGCTTCTTGGCTTGAAGCTGAAGGGAGGCTGGGCCAACCTGAATGCTACCACAGTTCACAGTCTGTGATGACTTAGAGAGGTACTTGGCGTAGGTTAGAAGCAGGAAGGAAATGGAGGTGACGTGCTGCATGTTGCTGCCTCCGGGCTTGTAGAGCAGCCCACCAGGGGTGTATTGGATGTGTGAGGAAGAGGACTCTGGTATGAGTGTGCACATAAAGCTGTCGGCAAAATCCTTATAGGACTCCAGAGACAGCACTTGTCCTTCTATGAACTCCTGCAGGCATCAGCCATGTGAATGAATGAGATCAAGAAGCTCCCCGGAGGTAGATGTGCAGTGAGCTTTACTGACATGACACACTAGTTAACCTTGGAGACCAAGACATTGAGGCCGGCATGCTTGTTGTCCCACCCAAACTCATTGATGTTGTCATCTGCTCCAAGAGTTTTACCATTGTTTTGGATGTAGCTGAGGAAGGAGTCATTCTGTGAGGCTCTTCTTAGCCATGCTGCTCCCCATAGTAACTCATCCTGACCAAATGAAGACCACAGTGGATGAAAGAAATTTAGGCTTAGGCATGAAGGCAAAGGTTCACTGTTATCTGAAAGGAAGGTTTGGTCTGTGTAAATTGAAATGTAATGACAGGAAACAGATATATTGCCACCATTATACTGCAACTTTTTATCCTCTACATACAGTCTGCTGTTTCAGCTGACAGATGTGCCACCTTATTCTTGACCCTGTCTGCATTGTTCAACAGAGTCTTGAATAGTGCTCAGAGGATCATTTAGATGCAAAACATGGATCTTGTTTTCCCTGGATCTTGTGAAGGTGGCACAATAAATTCTACAGTAATCTAGGATGGAAAGGACTATCTAGCTCTCTTTTTCTTTTTTGCATTTGTGACATACTGTACACATGACATCACACATCCCATCAAATCATAAACGGTGGAAATCTTAATCATCACTATGTTGAAGGTATTCTGATTGTAATATGATTATATATATATATCATTCGAACTCATCTAATGTCTATCAAAAATTAAAACTACAAAGTACAATTGTCATGATTACCTGTAAATACCAATGAAATAATCCTCAACACTGATAATACTCTTCCACTGTGATAAGACAACAAAATTAAGACATTATATTACTTGAAGCTCAAAGAATGCCTATGATTATGTGTGGGGAGGACTAAGATTTGGGATTTCTTATTTTGACTCAGGACCATCTGAAGATGCCATAATCCTTGTTGATTGGAGAGGGCCATCTGAAGACAGGAGGAGGCTGCACACCACACAATATTTGGCATTAATGAACATCGGTGGAGGATCCAATCGATCAATAAATCTTGTGGTACTGTGGTTGGTAGCTCATGATGATTGTGGTCCTTTGTGATTGAAATAGTGTTTTATGTTGAACACAGGATGCTCTGTTTCAGCACAGAGGCACAGAGTGGGGAGCTTAAACCCTCATCCATCACATTGTCTACATTGATGGACCATAGAAATTAAAGAAAACTTAACCTGATCTGCTTCTTAGCAACACCACATGCTAACAAAATCAGAAATATAAATTGGACATGCAATTCCAATGACATTGGTAAATATAAGAGTTTTGTGTAGAAACAACCAGCAGATCTTCAAAGAGACAAACTATCTTATTCAGGTGGCAAGGAGGCACTTTGATCATGTAGATTGGACCAAGCTTGGATCCAACAGCCAGCCCTTCACATGAATTTAATGGATCATACAAATACACTCATCTAATGTTCTGTTTCTATTCCAACTTTTTCTCTTTTTGTGGTTTATTTTTATGAGAAAAGTTTTACTATTTTACACTGAAATCAACACACAGTATGCTTCTTCTTAGCAATTCTCTTGTCAATCCTAAAGCCATCCTTTGCAGGTGGAAATCTAAGGTGATGAATGAAGAGAGAAGATTGACTTGCCTGATACCCATCGAAGTCACAGTAGAAGGGGCAAACTCCAGCTTTGAGCCCGGGATCATCACTGTAAGCTCCCTTGTAAGTGTCCGCGAACTCGAACGCCCTCACCGCGTTCTCCAACAGCTCCCTGGAGTAGTCTGGATCGTCGTCGCGGAACACCATCGACGCCGCCGCCAATGCGGCCGCCGTCTCAGCCACCACCTCGGACCCCGGCCTCTCCGCGCTCACGCTGTACACCGTCCTCGCCGTGTCCATGTCCTCCGGCCGCTCCCAGCAGCTATGGTCTCTCACAGGATTCCCCACCTGAGTGCACAACATACTAGAGTTTACTGATGTTGCGTGCTATACAGCCAACGCCATCGAAATCGTGGCACCGAGTTATGACCTGAACGAAGACAAGGCCGGGGTGGGAGACGGTCTTCAGCAGGTAATCCGTGGCCCATCGGATGGCCACAGCCGCGTTCTGGAGCTCCTCGGCCGGCATCAGTTCGCCGAACTCGACGACGCTCCATGACAGCATTGTGGTGGTGAAGGCCATAGGGAAGCCAAACTTGACGTTGTCGCCGGCGTCGTAGTAGCCTCCAGTGAGATCGACCCCGGCCTCGGAGCCATCGGACAACGCCGAGTCTCCGCGCCACTGGGCTCGCTGCTCCGGCGGGAGCTTCCCGGACCTCTGGCCTTCAAAGAACAGTATAGATTTGGCCAATGCATCACGGTAGTCATGACCACTCGCCTGTGTCCATGACAGGCCTAGTAGCAGAAGAAGAAGACACCATGGTTTCATGACTACCGCCAATGCAAGGGTAATGTGCCTGCTAGATTGCAACGTTAGCGCCTTGAGAAGATGCCTCCCAATAATTATACAGTGGGAGGGGTAAGTAGGACAAAGGAGGAGGATCACGGGGACGAGAAAGGGAGGTCAGGGAGGGCGGTGGCCGCCGACAGGCATGGTGTTGTCAGCTAATCACATGCATGCTTCTCCAGTGGGAGTGGGGCCATTACCCATGTTGGAGTTGAGGTGAAGCCATAAGATTGGAAGCAAGTTTTGCTTTGGTCGACAGCAGAATGGCTCTTCAACTATGTCTTGCCGAAGCTGCTGCTGCTGCTTCTACATTTTCTACCATGTTAGCATCGGAGAAGCAGACTTGTCCTAATCTCCGACATAATTAACGGATAATATAAGTTGGGGAAGGAATCAAGAAACTGACAAGTGAAATATAATGACAAAGCACAATTGAATTAGTTGAACATATTAGAAGAGAGGATTTTCTTGAACTAATCAACGTGATTTTCTCATGTATTTGAAAAAATATTATATGCTATCGTGCCCTCATAAGATTGAGGTCCTGTCAAGAATGTTAATCTTTGACCAATGCAATGAAAATAGTTTATGGGCGAGAGGCTTCGTGAGTGAGTATGCCAGTTGATCAGTCGTATGCACATGAGAAACACTAGTTGATGTCTGACAATTTGATCTCATACGAAGTGAAAATCGATGACAATGTGTTTTATGTGTGAGTGGAATACTAGATGCTTCGGCCTAACATCTGATTCTTCCTGTTTTAATCAATTTGTCTCTCCTTGATCGAAGCTAGTCCTGCGTCACTTAAACGCACATTAAATCATAAACACTCTCAATTGGTTTCATCATCACTGATATTCAACAATTATTACACTAGATGCATGCTATTTTATTCCTTCTATTATCAAAAATATTATTTCCATTTAATGTTTGACAGTTCGTGGATATAAATTAGTTTTTGAGAACAATAGTTGTTTAATATTATTATATGATGAGATCATCACGAGAAGAACATTCAATAATGGTTTATTTATACTAGATACTGCTCCCCACATATCATGAATGTAAGTGTGTCCAAGAAGAAACGAGATTTGGTGAACAATGCATATATGTAGTATTATAGGCTAGGTCACATCCATGAGAGAATGATTCAAAAGTTGCTAAAGGATGGATATCTAGATCCATTAGACAATGAGTCATATGCAACTTGTGAGTCTTGCCTTTGTGAAAAAGTAACAAACTCTCTAATTAGTAGAACTAGAGAGAGAGAGAGCCACTAAACTACTGGAACTATAGACCCATGTTAACTCATGTCATAGGTGGTTATTCCTACTTTATTATTTTTACTAATGATTTCTCAAGGAATGAACATGTGTACTTGATGAAGTATAAGTCTGAGGCTTTTGAAAAATTTAGAGAGCATAAGAATGAAGTGGAGAACTAGACTGGAAAGAGTATGAATACACTTTGATCAAATCGACGAGGTGAGTACTTGAGTACAGAGTTCAGACAATTCCTCAAGGACCATAGGATTCTATCCCAATGGATACCTCCTTATACACCTCAGCTCAATGGTTTATCTAAAAGGAGGAATCGTACACTGTTAGACATGGTGCGGTCTATGATGAACTTCGTCGACCTACCCATTTGTCACGGACAAAATTCTAAACAAGATGTTTGATGTAATACTTATGTATATCTGTGTCTTTTGGTTTATACATGCTTTGCACAACATGTAGAGGGATGGTCGAAGGCTTAACAGCCCCATTTTAGTTGGGTTTGGTGGCCTTCTTAGGCTTATAAATAAAGGTTGTGTCATGTGGACACTTGTGAGAGATATTCGGTCTGTAGTGGACCATTTTGACCATTTATTGTGCAACCGTTCAGAGCTTGTAAAGTCTATTTGTAATTTGTATTGTCTATGAAGTGTTTTCTGAAATGTTTGCTTGTGGATCCCAAGTAAGGTGCTTTCTCTAACTCGTTTTCTTTTTTATAGGTCCTAAGGCACCATGGGAGGTTTTGGGGAGGCTGACCTATATGGACGGACATGCAAGGGTGCCGCACGACTTAGGCAAAACTAGATAAGTCCATGACAGATGGTATCAGAGTGGGATAAGCACTCATAGAAACACTTAACATGCAAATGTGGGGGACCTAGCTAGGCTGTGTTGAGGGCAGTCAGCACACGCACGACCGTTTGGAGGAAAAACGGGCATGGAGATGTAAGGAAAAGGAGTCGCTCGGAGGAGCAGGCATCTGATATTGACATTCAGAGGAATGGCCAATCCTTCGCGTAAGAGGCACCATGAGAACAAGCAAGCTTGGAAGAATGCATAACGCACAAAGGTTGGGATGGCTAAGTTCGAGCTACGGCTCGACGTTGATAACTACACTTGATGGTGCTCAAGGCAAGCGAGGCGCTTGATAAAGGATGAGACCATGCAAGGTGGAATGAGTTGCTCAACAACTGAAAGAATTATGCAAAGCTCACAGAGGTGAGGGGAATTGCTAACTCGAAGAATTCGGTACTCATGCAAGGGCTTGTATGCGGATGGTGGAATATTCGCGGCCATCCCAAGGCGACCGAAACTCGACGCCATGAAGCATTGGAATTTTCTTTTCGGCATGAGAAAGATACGTTTGTAGGAGGCTGAAGTGTGCAACGAGTTCAGCATGTTGCTAGGCCTTGAGTGGTGCAGCGAGGGTTGTATTTACATAGAGTCGCAATCTAGCAAGTGTGTTTGCATGAGGCAGAACAATGCACAGTTTATTCAGCAAATCGGAGTAGTCCAAGGGGATGGTGGTCTCCGAAACGAAGAGAGATATTGCTCCAACAGGATAGATATCTAGGAGGGATAAGTCTCGGCTCTCTAGAGGGAGAATCATGTGTAATAGACTGCATATATTGAGGAGGAGTACCTCAAAAATAACAACTCCACGAAGCTCAATGGACCGAGCGAGTGGCGAGGAGTCGTCGCATGATCCCGCTTGAGAGAATGCATTGGTGGATGTATTGTGAGATCAAGTGGGGGAGCGACCCAAAGCAATACAAATAAAAGCATACTTGGAGTCGATATGGAGATCAGACTCAAGGGAGGGCTGACCCGTGGAATGGTGGGCACGAGGGCCACCATCAACTCAATGCAAAACGAGGAGCGGAGCAACTTGGGTGTAACTTGGCGAAGTACCCAAGTCGCATGAAGGGAGCTGGCATAGAAGATGGAACATGGAGCGGAGGCACAGAGCTTCCCTTGGATAGAGGTCAAAGACATAAACTCTTGTAGAGGCAAGAGCAGGATCATGTTGTTCCATGGGTCCTTCATTCTGATGGAACAGACTCATCTTGCATGGTGCCAAAGACGAAGGGGGCTTCTGGGCACATACACCTTATCTCGGAGAAGCATTTAATGGAGGAACTAAGGCGACTTAATTTGCGGAGGCGAAGTTAGGTTCAGAAGGCCTTAGCACGGGGCAAGAGGATGCGAAAGCGAGTACTTTTGAAGAATATGCCACAGTGTTGCCATTCAAGTTGCCATGAAGGAAGCGGTACGTAGCGGAGATTATGCTAGTAGGGGTAGAGGCCTAGGATCTAGACAATGATGCACTAATTTCAGCAAATTCGGTGGACTTCAGGAGCTACTAGGTGACGAACTATCATAGAGCGGTGCTTTGTCTAGGTGTGACCCGAGAGCGGGGGGGATGAAGGTCGATTGCCAAAGGAGCGAATGAACAAAATCGAACGTGGAAGAGACCCTGCGATGTATTGGCCGAGGCCACACATGGAGAGATCACAATTCGAGTTCATCCCACAAGGATCAGAATGCAATGGAGATGTCACCAAGAGGTGACATGATGCAACAGATCATAGTGGAACAGTTCGTGGCAATGCGATACACACGACATAGTCTCATGAGGAACTATATCATATGGAGGTATGATTGGGAGCTACTGGAAGCTCCACTTCGGTGAACAACACGTCGACAAGAAGGGCTATGGATTCAATGAGTGAAGGCCATGGTACCGTAGAGGTGGGTCTTCCGTGCGTGCATTGAGTTTTACATCGGATGAAAGTCTTGGTTATCAGCATATGGGGGGCTGTGTTCCACTAAGTGAAAAGTTCGAATGCAAGTACTAGTGAGTCCCATGGGAGAGACTTGATCATACAGAGGTATGACCGAAGCAATTGGAGAGTTATACTGCTCCAGAGCCCATATTTGCTTAAGGGAGCCCGGCAAGTCAGACGACAAGGTTGAGTAAGCGAATGTTGCTACTAAGGAAGCTAAGGAGAACAGAATCGGTGCAAACCCTATAACGTGATGGCAGAGGCCATGCATGAGAGTTGTAGTCTGTCTTTTCATCGACCAAAGGGAGTTGCTTGGAGAACACAGAGGTGGCAGGGGTCAAAAAGGGCGAGGAAGTGACGACGAGTCTAAAGGGACTTAGCTACCCAAAATCAAGCAGCAGTTATAATGGAGGTGGACTCAAAGAAGTGTCATAGATACATATCTACTGATCATGAAGAAAAATGATGCAAATGTAAGGCGACGGATAATAGGGCCATGGGCATGGCAACGCCATGGTACCATAGAGGCAGGACTTCCGGGAAAGTCATTGATCCCTTGCTCTCATGAAGGGAGAGTGCTTGGTCATGAAAGGGGCCGAGGAGGTAGAGCATGCAGAGGCAAACTCCAAATACCGAGACAAGGTTAAAGGGTAGAGGCCAAGGAACTTCATAAGACCGGTATCAACGAGCTTCTCATCAAGATAGCCGAAAGTGAAGGACTTCGGGTCGTGCAAGAGTGCACAACCAAGGAATGAAGTAGGCAGTACGTGGTGATATACCTTTGCTACTCAGTGGAGTAGGCGGCAGGGTTGATGGAGAAGACGGTACAATCCCAGAGGTGACTAAAACTATTAGAGACTTACTCCAAGTTGGGGTGAAAACTTCATGTATTCCAGAAGTTCGATGGCATTGAGAAGGTGAATCATAGTAGCTAACTCAATGCAAGGAGTGCAAACACTTCGAGTGCTTCAGAAGTGTGAGCAAAGAGCAAGCGAAGGTCAGTAATCAGCTCAATGCATGGA